TTGAAGGATTATTCATGGAAAAATTATGCAAAGGAAAAAACAGTGAGATCCTTTGGGATACGTGTAAACTTTTCCAAATGTTCTTGCCACAGATCTCTGAACAGCATTTGACTTGCTCTGATGAGGTTGTCTCACGTTCCCTAATGCAAACACATTTTTAATAACATTTTAATATTTTTATACATCATTCTTGTGCATGTCAGCATAATCTTGAAAATGATGCTGAGAAATAATGAAAACCAAACTAACCCTTGTTCATGCCAGCTGACTGGAAAATCCTGCTAAGAGTGCTTTGTCTCCATGAAAGGCAAAATAACAGAGTAGCAATCATGGTAACAGTATGCACTAGGAGTGGAGCCAGAAGAGTAAAGACAAGAGCTAGCAGTAGCAGATGACTTCACTTATTGGAAAAAAAGGGGCAAAATAACTCAATCCCAAATGAATTTAAGTATTGGAATTTTGTTATCAGCAGTATCAGGCATAACTTCCCCAGCTAATTGCTCAGCAGTCTGGTATGTCCATAAATATCCCTTGGTCTGTGCAGTTGTCATCAGTATCTCACTGCTTACCCACTTTGGCATCCTTCTTGACATGGGCTCTCTTTGTCTCTTACTCCTTTACAGAAATGAGGTCATCTGCTCTGTGCCCCATAACTCGTGCTGACACTCACTACACCCCAGATTTCTTGCCGAACTAAGTGTAGCCAGCTGAAGAGAACTCTATAAACTTCACCGTTCTTCTTCATAGGCATTTGGCAGCAGAGCAGATACAAAGACTATGTAAAGATGTTTCAGTTCAGATTCTTATTACCGTAGCACAGGGTTAACAGAGCTAAACTGTATGGATTTCCTTCTATTGCCTTGGAGAAAAGGAGGATGCAGAACTACGTTGAAAATGGTCAGTCCAGCCATAATAATACCAGCACAGATGATATTTCTGTTTTCATCTGGTCCCACAAAGCATTCTGTTTTCTGCCATCAGGATCTTCACTGAAGACACCTAACTGGGAATTTGAATAAGTCACAGAATCACAGCATAGCTGGAAGAGACCACAGTGGGTCATCTAGTCCAAGCTCCCTGTTCAAGTAGGGTCATCCTACAGCACATGGCACAGGACTGTGTCAGATGGCTCTGGAATACCTCCAATGAAGGAAGCTCCACAAGCTCTCTCTAGGCAGTGTGTTCCAGTGGTCTGTCAATCTGGGTCCATTTCCTTCTTTGACAGGACTGATGCAAGCAATTGTGATTGCCATATGTAATAGCAAGGAAGCCAAGCTGGACTGTTGTCTTAAGTTCTAAGACTCTTACACCTATTTCCGCAAACTTTGTCACCCTTGACATGTCACACCTTAAGCCTGGCAATATTTTTTGTGAACTGAAATTTTAGTCCCTAAAATTATTTTTATATTATTCATAATATTCCCTAGTATTATATTATAATCTGAGATGTGGAGTCCTTTTAGACCTGCTACATAATTTGTTTCAGGGGGAGTGTGGCAGTTTATCAAACTTTTTCTGTTTAAAGCTGTCCAGGTAATAAAAGCTCTTACTTAAATCAAGCAATCATCATCTTTATAATGATTAATCTTTAGATAGTTTCATGTTGCAATCATATTAGAGTAAATTTCAGTCCATGCTCCCTAAAGAGAGGGAGAAAAAAAGGGAGTGTAGAGTGAAAAGTCTCAAACTATTATTTCTTGCTGGATAATATCTCTTACTCTTTGTAGGTTTTGATAGTAACATTTGAACCTACCTGGAGTCAAATCCAGCCAGCTTTGATTTTGTAATAACTTGATTGTGTCAGCACTGGGCTTGTTATTGTGCTGTTCTTTCTGATAAAGTAATTTTGAAGGAGTCGCATGCTTTTGTTTTGTTGCATATCAGTGCTTTGGAACAAAATTAGTTAAACTGCTTTCAGGTCTCTGATTCTCCACTGTGAGAAACTTAACCTTTACACTATTATGTGTTACAAAATTTAACAGTTATTTCTACATGTGGTGCAATGTCTGTGTGAAAAAGCACTGCACTGTACTGATAATCCTCTAGGGCTACGCTTTAAGATTGCTACTATTTCACAGGCTGTGGTTTCAGTAACTTGTTAAAAATAATACTTCAGTAGCATTCAGTGAACTTAAAAGAACTTAATGTCATCGACTTGAAAAAAACTTAATGTAAATCAAGATTGAGAACTGGCATCAGAAACACCTGAATGACACAGCAGGAAGCAATATAAAAACGAACAAATCCTGCAACCAAATTAAGGGACAAGCCTCAGAGTGGGCATATTAACGCTGAAGTTTATGCTGAGTTTCAGATTAAACTCTTGCTGATAAATGCTCATAATTTTCAGGGAAAGTCTCTTTTAGCTGCCTCTGTCTTTATCCTGGGTTTCAGTTCCAATATATTTTAGGCTTCTTAGCAGGTAATAAATACCTCAATAGTCCTAAGTATTTTCCTGTTCACGAGTTGAAAAGTATCTGATGGAAAGGCACTACAAAGAAAGCATGTAGAGCAAACTCCTTTTTTGGGAACCTAGTCCATCAGAAGAACTGGAGGTTTTCAAACTAAAGAACTTGTAATCATTTCTGAAACTTCTGAAGGCATTTGTTTTGTCTCTGCATAAATTTTAATTTGTATGAAAATCCATGGTAAAAGACTTTAGTGAAATGTATAGTCTTGCTACTAATGCAGCAGATAAGATTTTTCAGACCTAATGGTGAATTATGAATCCATACAGTTTTTACATTAAACTAGGCAACATAATTGCATTCATAATCATACTTTTTCTCGTCCTAATTTGTGCTTCACCTCCATGGCAGAAATGGAAGATGAAGGGCTTTGGTTTTAGGGAAGAAGCTTCCAGTGTTTGTTACAGCCCAAATGCATCAAAATTTTAGTTGTATGTGCAGCAAGAATATTGTACTGGGCCCTCTCCAACATCCCAGATGTGCGTCTTTAGGTGAATCTCTGGATGAAGTAATGACTGAAAGTCATTTTTTAAAACTGCACATGGCCATTAGGTATAAGACCTTCTCTGAAGCTGCATATGCCAGTGACTGATGCTATGACTGTTGTGTTTCACAAATTTACAGTTGTGTGATGGTAGCAAAGATGGGCAGGCAAAAATGCTGTCCCGATGATATATATGAATGAGGCAGAAAACATGCTTAAAAACTGCTTTATCTTTGTTCTCCTACTAAATTGATGGTCTGATGAATAATACTACTGAAGGTTCCTCTAACAAACTTGTCCCTCCTCTCTGTATTGCTAAAAGAAGTTGTGTCTTTTTTGCTTGTCTTGGGGCTCCCTTCATTAGTAATTAAGCAGCATAATGAACTGTTTGCTCAAATGTGCAGAATATTGTGGATTAAATCTTTCCCCTAACTGCTAGGGAAAACCCTTTGCAATTTTTCCTAGTTACAGTCCAGTTCACAGTGAAATTCCAGAGTCTGGGCTATGGTGAAATAAAAAGACAAATAATTTGGAATTAATTTATTTGTTTCCTACAACTTGACATAAGTCTATATTGCAGAGTGAGCATGGGCAGGAAAGCATCTTGTGTTTATTTGGGGTTTTTTTTGCCTCTTACTGGGACAAACTCATTACTGGTTCTCCTATTTCTTCTTGTGTCTCATGAATCCTCAGTTCAAGACAGAAGAAGATGATACCTTCCTGCAGGGTGCTTCAGGGTAGAGAGAGCAGCCTGTATAACAAATAGAAACAGAATGTCTCAAGTAAGGAGAGACTTCTAAGGATCATTGAGTCCAACTTCCTGCTCCTTGCAGGGCTCCGTAAAACTAAATTATATCACTAAGAGTGTTGTGATATAACCAGACTCACCTTGTACTCTGACAGTCTTGGCGCCATGACCACTTCCCTGGGAAGTTTTGTCTCTCAGAACCATTTCTGCTAAAAGTTCATGTTCATCCTGTTGTCAAACTGTGCTGTGGAATGTTGGTGTTTTGGATTGGTTTTGAGGTTTGTTTTTTTTTTCTGTTTCAGTTTATTACTTATTTGATGCCAGACACTTTTGTAAAGATTCTGATGATGATTGTACATGGCTTTTCACATCACAAAGTTTCTTCTTGTGTCAACCTCCTAATGAGTGGTTTTGGTAAGAGTCCAGAAGCTGACTAAGCTGAGGTTGCTTGAACCTCCAAGAAGGGATTTTTGTAATGTAGAGGAAAGTCTGTTCTGCTAGTACCTGGACTGTCCCAAGGAGAAAGATATGGGGCAGATGGCGACTTTGATGACCACTGTTCCCACTTTCATCACAAGCACCAATGCCATAACTAAGTGTTTAAAAGTAAAATCTCAGCTGTTTGCTGTGAAGGCAAGAAGAGCCTGGCATTTACTGAGGATGAATACAGTTTTCCACTGTATTGCAAAGGTCACTGCCTGCCTTTTGTGAACAGCATCGAGGAGCTGGAACAAAACCATGTTTTCTGTGAGGCCTCATAAAATCTGTAAATTGAGAGGAAGAATGATCACAGTGAGACATCTCTAGAGCTCATAGATGTTTGAGAAGTAATGCATCTGTCCATCCATTAGGTATATGAAGAGCCCTTGGTTTTTCTTACATGCTCAAGCTGTGAGTCAGTATGAGCAGATTGTTTACAGTTTATTCACAACATGAAGTTGTGAACAAAATTCAAAACACATGTGAACGTTCCTGTTCACACCTGAAGTACAAACCGACTTTATGGCTCTGCATATTACACTTTGGCACATCCAGCTGTTGTAAGGAAGCCGAGAGTTTTTGTAGTTCATTGTTAAAAGTATGAGAAAAACTATTTTTAAAATTACTCCAGGGAGTTCAAGATTATGGAGATGAATTTTTAACAAAATTGGATGGTGTAACCCTAATGGGCAAGAAACAGTGCTTCAGAAATGGTGCCATTTGGTCATCTGTAAAAATTAATTTTAATCAGTTCCTAAACACGCCATTGAAATTTCTGGGATTTGCATCAGTCCGGTGTTAAATAATCTCTGTCTTTTAGGTCCATCTGACATGTCAGCAGTTATGAAATTCAGCAGGAGACCCACATGCCCTGATGCCTCAGTTGCAGCAAGTCTACCTACACCTCCTGTACCAAGGCACCGGAAGAGTCACAGCCTAGGAAACAAGTGTGTAATCCCAGCTGTCTCATGCTCAGGCAGTTAGTTACATGTGTCACAAAAATTTAAGATAGTAGCAGAGAACATGCTACTATTTGTCCTTTCCATTTCTTGTATTGCAAAAGTGTTTCAGGCTCTAGTATGCATTCCCCAGGCTTTCTCTTGACACTTTTGTTATTTTTGCTGACTCTATTCTCTGCTAGCGCCAGGCACTGGCAATACTTGAAAGCTGCTTATCCACTTTGGTCTGTGGATTCCTGGTGTGTCTCCTTTTTCTAGGTTTCTGCTTTTGGTGCCACCAAGGATGTTCACATTTTGTACGGAGAAGTCAAAACATTTACAACTTCCCAGCTACAGAAATTTAATAATTGTTACTGACAAAGAGAAGTAAAATATGAAATGCATTTTGATAGTAAAGGAGCTACAGTACATGGTAGCATATAATTGCCTGCTCCTTAATAACCTGCTGATGAGGCAGAGGCTTAGTGGAAATAATGTGAGCCAAGGCTTGCTGTTAGATGACATAAGAGGGGTTTCGCATTTTTCTCTTCTTCCATGTTCCAGTATGATGTGTCAGTTGAGCGTCGTGGAGAGCAAAAGCGCCACCTTCCCGACGGAGCGGCCACGGCACCTGCTGGACGACAGTGTCCTGGAGTGTCACAGTCCAGCGCGCGGCCACACGCCCAGCACACGCCTTGCCAACGGCCTCTCCATAGGTATGTCTGGGGAGTGACACCCTGCTCCTGTCCCCAGGGCGCTGCAGACTCACAGATAGCTGAAAGCAGAAAATTAGGAAGCTCATTAGTTCCCTTGCAAAGACTGATTGTTTTCATGGATGGAAGTAGATCAGAACTGCTACCTGGTCAATGTAACATCAGTTTTCCTTGATTAACCACTGATGCTTTTGGTACAAGTGGCATGAAAGAAGATTGGTTTTGTAGATGCTCGGTGTGTGACACAAAGTGTTTGTCAGCTTTTACCGGGGGGAAAGTGGATATGTATTTTAAAAGCTACCTTTACACAAATAAAGCTTTAATTTTAACGATATGTTTTAGAAGATAGGGGATTTGTTTGGTAGTACTCTCTAAGACTTATAAAGAAACGTAAAATGAACACATTATGGTATTATAATTAATAAAGAAATTATTATAATATCAAAAAAGTGATCAAGAATCTGTGTTCTAAGCAAGAGAAAGCTACCTTTTAAGAGATTCAGGCAATTTCTAGAATAAGAAATTGACTGTGAAAGATAGCACATTACTTGACCAACAGTTGGACACTGAGATGATCTTTTCACTTCTGAAAATACAGGAACAGCTCAGGGTGTTAAAACTGAGCATTAGAGGATCAGTCCTGGGCAAATTAAAACTGTGAGCTAAATAGCTGTGCCAGAAAAGGAGGGAAAATTGGGTGATGGGCTTGAAGGAGAGATAGGAACTCTAGTTATGAATACCATCATATATGTATATATTTTAATAATTCCTAGCAGCAGCAAACAGCTGACATATCCTCTATTAGAGGTGTGTTTGCTTCTTGAAAATAAACCATGATACCATATCTAATAACTTCAATTGACTTATGGATATTGTGCTAGAAATATTGTCTTACAAAGGAGCTGGATTTTATGTACCTGAAGTTCTCAGGTTCTGAAATAGAAGCATGATGAAAATAAAAGTAATGGTATTAAAACACAGCAATAACATGAGTTAAGAGTGAGATACTATAAATGGAGAGGCTCATGTAAGCCTCTTCCAACTAAAGATTTTACCATGAACTCTAAACACTTCTTCAAAACATTATTTGAGTAAGCGGTGTCCACAGTACTATACAAAAGAGTATTCTGGTGATCCACATACATTGGCTTTGTATTTTCCCATGGGTGGTTTTCTTACTCCTTCTCTGTACTACTCTCTTTCTAGATAGCAGTGAAAGCTCAGAATTTAGTGAGGAGCTGCCGTCAGGGCTTGAAAGGTGAGTTAGTCTTCATGTACACTCACTGAGCACTCTACAGACTTAGCTAAGAAATTCACAAATGATCCCTAACATAGGTAAGCCCTAAATCAATAGTTATTTTTATCAAATTATTAATTAGTTAGGAAAAATGGCAAACATTTTGAAATAAAGCACTGTAAAGGTATTGGACCTGAAAAGATTAGGGGCTATCTCTGTCATATTTACCAAACCCTAAAGAATACTGCTCATCAGATATTTGCATTCACAAACAGGGGTCGTTTATATGCCACACTGGGGCCTAACTGGAGGGTACCACTCAGGAATTCTCCTCGGAGTCGAAGCTGTGTCTACAGGTACAGTTCCGGGTCTGCCTCTTTCATTGTATGGTGCTAAAATTCAATTTGGGTTTTTACACTTTCCTAGTGTAATGTATTTTGGGTCCAAATATCCTTATATGACCATGACAATTTACGAAGTCTCCCCCTCCTGCTTGTAAGAACTCCTGTTAATGGTAAAGCAGGGTTATGGCCCATTCAGATGAAATTCAGTTTAGCTGTTGATTTAACTAATGTTGTCTGGCTTCCGTTTTGCAGAAAACTAGGCTTTACTTAGAGTTTTATGAAACCTTTGTGGAAGCAGGTTTGTCATGAAGGCCATCTTTGACTCCCATTACAAGTGATGATGTTAGAAGGATACCTTCTTGACCCTTTCCCACAATCTGTTTCCTGATTTACCAGGCAGCTACCCATAATATCTGTCTGTGTCTGTGTGGTGTGTTGATTTTGTTCAGTAAAAGGGTATGACCTTGGACCTCAAGTAAGAGAGGGAACATCCACAAGCCATATGTAGCAGGTGCTCACAATGTTGCTAGTCACGAAGAAGTGGACTTTCTACAAGCAGGCAATCCATTTACAGATCTAAGAGAGATGACTCTAAAAATTTTATATCGTTTGAGGGATAAAAATCATTCCTTGCATGTATACCTGACCTGAACTTGATAAATTCTGTGATGCTGGCAAATGAAGACATATGTTCGAACAGTTAAGAAAATAGGGCCCTGAATCAGTATTCTGCAAATACTGTGATTTAGTTGCAGTTTAAATCCAGTCAGATTTTATTTTGTTTAAATTAGTTTGTTTCAGCCATTGTAGAAGTTATCAATATAATGTATAAATTACAGCTGCCTTACTAAATTATATTGCTTACTTATCATCTTTATTCTGCTCAAATACATAGAGGAATGCTTTGTCTCTCCAGCCCAACGGGCGCATGCAGCTGCACAGCAGGTGGTCCCACCGGAGTCATTACCATGGAAGGGCCTTTAAGAAGAAAAACACTGCTCAAAGAAGGCAAGAAACCTACTGTAAGTAATTCTAATTATAGTTATTCCTATGGTCCTAATTCATTAGTGGCTGGTTTAATTTTCAGCTTTTTTTTTTAATGTGCAGCTTGATACCGCACAAAATAATGGTTTTATCAATTGTAATTTTCTGATCAAAGTTATAACCAGGTTGTAACAAGGTTGTAACCTTTGTGTGTCATTTGATATGCAGCAGTTTGCGAGTCACGAGTCACGTTTCTAGCTGTGACAGCAGAGCAGGAGTGAAGCAATTGTGTAACTAGCAAGCAGCGTTGTGAGGGCAGAAATAAATCTTGTGGCACTGCCAGGTGACCCAGAGCATCCTGATACTTTCCAGCTAAATAAGCCTGACAAAGGCAGATATTGCAAGATGGACAATGTCTGCATTACATTTCTGTGACAGGAAGTAGATTAATATCTATTAATGAGCTTGTAGATTACGGAATTTGCAGTGGCACTCATAAAAGACTGAAGAGGGAGCTCTTCAGTACGGAATTTTCAAGGGAGGGTAAAAATTCAATTGAATATATTTCTACAATATATTTTGGTGCTTTTGAGATATTGCATTAAAATGGAAAGGCTGCAGGGCAGCCCCCATAGCACCAAAGTCATGGCAATTCATAGTTAACCTGAATTCAAGGGTTTCACATGGTTCTAGTCCTATGTATCTGATAACTTATTTGCTTTCTGAAGGGTTGATTGATGTATTTCACATGCAACCCAGTTCAGTTCAGAGCGAAAAGATTTGAAGAATTGAATTGCAGAGTCAACTCAGTAATTTTTTTTAATCAATAGTCTAAGATCTGTACAGTAGAAGACTGCACACTATTCTTCTCTAAATAATCATTACTGATATTTTCATGAGATACCCAGCAAAGAAGGCTTGTATTCACAGCCAGCCATCAAGCTTTAGGTAGCTGAGCTGATTTACACCAGGAGACACTCTTTATCTCCATTCCTTGCTTCTAAAATTAACTTTGGTAGCACTTGGACTTGCATGTGAATAAATTTTTGAAATGTCAGAGATATGCAGAGTTTTTCCTATTTTTTTTCCTTTTTCATTCAGCTCTCCTCATGGACTAGATACTGGGTCATGCTTTCAGGATCAACTCTTCTGTACTTCGGAGCAAAAGCTTTAAGAGGCACTGAAAGGAAACATGTAAGCTTTACATTTATTCTAAAACCAAAAATTGAATACTCGTAAGTAGATCTGGAAGGGCATCCAAAGTGTACTTTCTGTTCCAGGCTAAGTCATATTTCTGCACAACTTCTACAGTCAAAAGTTAATCTCTGCTACAGTCTCAGCTATGACCGATTTGTCTGTCTTTTCCAGTATAAATCTACACCTGGGAAAAAAGTCTCCATTGCAGGCTGGATGGTGGCACTGCCTGATGACCCAGAGCATCCTGATATTTTCCAGCTAAATAACCCTGACAAAGGTAGATATTGCAAGATGGACAATGTCTGCATTACATTTCTGTGACAGGAAGTAGATTAATATCTATTAATGAGCTTGTAGATTACAGAACTTGCAGTGGCACTCATAAAAGACTGAAGAGGGAGATCTTCAATACAGAATTTTCCAGGGAAGGTACAAATTAAATGGAACGTATTTCTACAATATGCTGTGGTGCTCCTGTGCTGCCTGCAGAGATTCATTTCTTTTGACAGTTACTGTAAATTTCACAGAAATTCCTCAGCTAATGTGAGATTGCAGCCCGTCCGTGTATCTCCATACATTGATCTACAAGTCTCTGAATAGCTTCCTTAAAATCAGTCGATATCAAATCTTGACTTACACTGAGGCCAATTAAAATATCAAACCATTTACCAAAATAAGTCTGCTAAGTAATTATTACTTTTTAATAATTTATTTTGCAGTGCCATAACTCATTTCCCTTGATTAAACTTCAAAAGATAAGAAAACTCCTGGAGTTATTTTGCACTTTGAGTGGCTGCTTACAGGTTCTTGAGGCTTTCTTCAGTTTCCATGTTTTCAGCTTTGGTGCTGGATATGGAGTCCCATCTACTCTATGAAGTGCGTCATCTGGGAGTTAACTAAAATGCACAAAATATTTGATTGCAGGAAACAATTTGCAGTAGGACATTGAAGAAAACTAAGTTTACAGAAGCCTTGAGAAGAAAGCCAGGATGATGCACAGTCCCCAGTTGTGGTATAACCAGAAACATTTATTAAAAGTGTATATAGCTTTATAATATTTTCAGTATCAGATTAGAATATCACGTGCCTGGATAGCCAATACGGTAACTGTTCACGCGTCTGTTAACCAATAATATAAGGGATTGCATTCCTAGTATTCACGTCAGCCTTTTTCCTTTAAATCAAGTGCTTGTATAACAATTTTTTCTGACAACTACTGTTACATTTTAGAAACTTTGTTACATCTCTCCTGCCTTGACCGAATAGTTCTTGTTCTTCTTAACCAAGTGGGCTTTGTTCTCTTATTACTAAGCGTTCTTTGTTTTCTTGCCGCACACCGACCTACATGGTCTTTTCTGTGGCTGTAATTCAGCCTTTCTGCCTGTGAGGCCACATATGTTCTCATACTTGCTTCACCCAAGAATTGCTGGGTCACATGGGTTCTGTTACATTAGCAGCATCATGTTTGAGCATTTGAGGTGCCAATTAATTTAAGAGTTTAATTCTGGACTTTGGCTTCTGCACAGAAATCAGAGTCCTTTGAAACTATATGTCTGTCTGTAAATTCTGAGTCTTTAATTTTCTTATTTTTGTAGGCAATGTTTACAAGTTTCAGACTGGTTCAAGGTTTCATGCAATATTATGGCATAAACATCTGGATGACGCGTGCAAAAGCAACAAGCCTCAGGTAAGGTATTTCTACCCACTTTTTCCTATTTTCCAGAAAATGCTTACTAGAAAAGCTCTTTCAATCTGTGTGCACACGCATTCCTGTGGGGACAGACATAATTCCTCATTCTGTACGCTGATCCATTTTTTCCAGCGGTAGAAAGAAAGATTATTTAAAATTAGAGAATTCCCATCAAATCAGGTTTTGTGCAGGTCTAGCTATTGGTTTGGTTACCCTAGGAGCATATAACCTCTACTCTCAGTTGCTTCAAGCAAGATAACCTCATCTCTTCTTTAGAAGGGACTGTCTCATGGAAAATGAAAGCAACCATACTAGGATGGACTCAATGATCTTAGAGATCTTTCCCAAATGTAATGATTCTATGAGTAATTTACAATCTCTTCTAGGTACCTGCTAATCTAATGTCATTCGAATAATTTCCTCTCCTACCTGGTGCGACTTCAAGTGCCAAACTGAAGAAACAGGTTATTGTTCTCTAAGGAGGAAGAAGAGAATGGTTTTCCTGACATGAGCCAGCCACAGATATTTCAGCACTTTCCTATGTAACTTGAAAGTGATTCTGACACAGCTTTTAAAAGCAGGAAGTGAATGTTATCCCTAGGACCAGATAAAGTCTCATGCACTGAGTGAAAGCAGACAAGTTAGACGGACAGAAGATTAATCCTCACTCCTGCAGGATTCTAGAGCCCTCAACTATTTGTGGTCAGAGACTGCATGAACTGATATTTGGCCGCAAACTGAGCATTATATCTTCTGCCTGTTCTTTTTCAAATGGTTCTTTTTATTGTTAAGCTGCTTTGTGTGACTGAAGAATATTTGGCCCATGTTGGGTTTCAGTTCTTTCTAATGCACAGAATGATTGACAGTGTTAACTTGCTCCAAAGTGTCAATTAGAATAGAAAATTGTGGAACAACATTTTTATAACCTAAGTGCACTGAGTTGCTTGGCAATGTGGCTGCCTCAAATTTTCTATCAAATCTCTGGACAATATGCTGTTCATATTTGAGCTATTTGGGAAAAATGTATTTTGGCATAGGACAGTTGCACTTCTTTTTCATTCAGTTACTTTGCTCAGGAATACACTGGTAATAGAGTTAAGGCTGTTTAAATTTATGTTGTGCTGAAGTTTGTCTTTCATTCTTTTACCAATGGCATAGTTGCTCATAAATTTGGTGTTTTGGTTCAGTATGAACATTGTTCATTTCAAATCCCTTAGCATAGGGAAGCAGGTAATCAGGTGTTTTATATCACATGGTCCTGGCTCCTCAGAATGACTCCATACCATTGTTTCTGTTCTGTCCTTCTGTGGACAACTTGGCTCCATTCAATTCCAGTATGTGTTGTGACTTCAGGACATTAGTACTGGTAGATAGTACTGCTATTATAAAATCGTGGTGGCAGTGAAAGACTGTCCAACAGTGGAGCAAGTACAAAGAAGTCTCCACATGAATATCCAGAGAATAAATGAGCAACAAAAGAAGTGTAACTGGACCTTTTCCTCCGAAGGAACGCTCTCTGTGCTGTATTCCTGCTGTACCCTGGCACTCCTGCAGTCAGAATCAGTTTCTGTTCATATGTTAAATTCATCATTTTTTCTTTTTGAAACTCTTTTGCCATATAGCATCATTATTCCGACTTCATCAATCACCAGAAAACCTCTTCTGACTTTCCTAAGATTGCGTAGAGGAGAAATTGGCAAGTCAGCCTCTAACTTACAAACCAGGAACACCATGAAAGTCAGTTTAAGTGAACAGAACCTCTACTAGAACAAGCTCCCTGGCATTAGCAGTATGTATTCTGTGGACTTCCGTGATCTTCTACATTTTAATTTTGAAACTTCTCTAACAACAAGGAGAAAAAGCCAACTGTTTTTTAAATGAAGGTCAAAAGTAAATTTATTGTTCTTTTAAGAGTTGGTGTTACAATCCCGAAAGCCTAATACATACCAGGTTTTCAAGAAAAACAGTTCCTGATAACAATTGCATTTAGATCCTGGGACATGGGAAAGTGTATGTAAAGTTGACAAAATTTATTTGATAACTGAGGAACTCTATGAAAAGAGTGGTAATTAAAAATATATTTGTATTGTTTTTCTCTTTCTTTGCTAACTTAAGACAACTTTGAACTAGGAAATACATGGTTATCTGCAAGGGCAGAGCATCGAACGCCATTACAGATGGTATAGAAGCTTTTGAATGTGGTAACATCCTGTCAGCAGTAAATTACTTCAGACTGTTAGGCTATGATATAGTCTGAATTATTCTACACCTGCGGATTTTTGTGATTAGTCATCAGTGAGATTTACCATCTTTTCCGCATAGCACAATTGTGAAATTGCTGCAGAGTATTGAGAAATTCAGTGAAAGAATAATGACGGCAGTGAAAGAATACTAGTAAAACATCTTAAACCAATTTTGAATTAGTCTTTAAGTATTAAACAGTTCCTAGCTGCTGATAAGAGGTGTTATGATGCCATTTGGTACCATTTGCTATAGCCAGGTACTGCTATGGATAATTGAAAGCTGCTATTGAAATACAATAGGTTGCCTATCACCACTGATTGTTACAGCATTTCCACAAAAAAGATCACAAACCATACAAGTTCTCCTCCATCAAAAAGAACAACAACTACAATAGTTATGTAAAAGTAAACATTATAACATAATTGCCATTTTCAGAATTGTGAAGATATAATAACTATAGGTAATATTATTAGTTTCTTTAATGTATTAATTTATTTAATTGATTTTTCTTTTTTATTATTTAATTATTCATTATTTATTTATTTAATTAATTTTAATGTAATTCAGTACCAAAATGCATGTTTTTCCAAATAGCACTAAAATGAGGCAAAGAAACTAGTTTTCAAAGTGAGACTGACTTGTCACACTATAATGTGAATCAATTTCAACATTTTGGTTTGTTTTGTGTGGAAGCTGTTGCACTATTTTTGGCTGTATTTTCCAGCAGTCCACTGCATGCCATTTGTGTAAAGGATTCTTTCTAAAATTCTTGTGAACTGTCTCACCTGTAAGAACTCTGGTGTTGGAATCTAGGTTTTTGGCAAAGTATTTTGTTACCTCAGTCTTGTATCGAGTTGCTGCATTTTTCAGTTTGTTACATTGATAATAATGATTGTTTTGCTAATTAAATACTTTAATGTAAAAAAAGTTTGTTTACTACAACAGTAATAGCATTTGGTTGTAAGTTTAAAAATGTGCAGGGTATGTATGCTGTTGACAATAAAATATTCTGAAAAAGAATAGGAGAGGTACAGAAGGAATGTTTTAGCTCAAAGGCAGCATGCATGTTTTATTTGTGAATGAATGGTAATATAATTGAACAGACTTTATGGAGCACAGAGTCCAGCCATTTAGTAGTATAAATACAACAGAATCAACATTTCTAGGATAAAATTGAAAAAGCCTCCAAATTTGCAGCTTTTTCAAGTGAGATTTTGAAAGTCCAAAGAAGTAGAGACAAATTTAAATTTCTTTGCACTTCACATTTAACTCAGCAGGTTTGCAGATGACACCAGAGTGATGCAGTGGCCACACCTGATGACTGGGGCCTGGACAAGCTTGATGAGAGGCTCGGGCTGACATAATTCTAACGAAAAGATCAAGAGAAACTTTGCTGAGAAGGACTCGGGGGTGCTGGTGTATGAGAGGCTGGACATGTCCTGGCCATGTGTGCTGGCGGCTCAGAAGCCAGCCATGTCCTGGGCTGCATCAAAAGCAGTGTGGGCAGCAGGGGACAGAGGTGATTCTGCCCCTCCACTCAGCTCTTGTGAGACCCCACGTGGAGTGATTCATCCAGCTCTCAAGTTCGTGGTATAGGAAAGATGTGAACCTGTTGCAGTGGGTCCAGAGAAGAGCTACAAGAACAATCAGAGAGCTGGAGCACCTCAGCTATGAGGAAAGGCTGAGACAGATGGAATTGTTTAGCCCAGAGAAGAAGATGCGCCAAGGAGATGTTATTGCCACCCCTCAGTACTTGAAGGGGACTTACAGGAAAGATGGGGACAGATTTTTTAAGTGAGGCCTATAGTGATAGGAGAACAGATTATAGTTTAAAAGAAGGTTGATTCAGACTAGATATAGGGAAGAAATTTTTTGCAATGAGGGTAATGCATTTGATTTGTGAACTGGATCAATGTATCTAGGAAAGACACTTTCAAATTGGAAAAAAATATTTGGTCCACACAGGGAGGTTGAGGCCTCAGTCTACTATTTTCTACAGCTATTTGCACACGGTTGGGAAACGCCTAATAGCACTGTTTACATGTCTTTGCAGGAAACTGGTGTGACATACCTCTTACCAAGGATACATCCCTTTGGAGATAGACAGCTTTGGATCTGAAAGAGAACTGTATTGGGTATGCTACAATTTTAAATGTAATAATTACATTTAAAGCATTTCATTGTAATAAGCATTTTTCTCTGTGTTCTCCCCAGAAATAAAGACACTCTATGTGGGACATCTCTATGACTGGAACAAAGGTCCATAACTTATGGCCTTTGGCACTAGAAAAGAAAATCCCACCACAGAATTCCTATGAATGCCAACCTTGTATTTTATTGTAGAAATGATTCAGCTATCGTGTCTGTCTCTAAAAGTAGACAGGACTCCAGGACTACTGGATTTTTATCATTGTGTAATTATCAATTTCCCTGTACTTTTTTGAAATTGACTTGCATTTTGAAAATATAATGGCTAGTTTGTGTTTCTCCATTTTACACAAGTTAATTTGACAGTTAGGCATCGGGGTCGAATCCGGAGACCTCCTCGAGAACAGTGCACCACTGCTGATGTCCTTCTTTTGCACTTGTGCCGTCTATGCCGTTCATTTCCAGGACGTGGTGTGTGGGAGCGCTGCCCCCGGCGCACAGCATGTGGACCTGGGTAACCAGCGCTCCGGAGCCGCTGGCGTCCGGATCTGCGGCGGGATGGGCGGGTTCTGCTTCCCAAAATGCGCCGCAGCTGACGCGCATTAGCGTCCCGGGACCGCCGGGCTGCCCCATTCGCGGTCTCACATGGGACCTCCGTCACCGATGCCTCGGGGAACCTGGGAAAGTGGCGGGAGAGGCCAGAGGCGTGGCGGGCAAGGCCGCGGCCCGCCCCGGGGGTCCCTCCGTCCGAGGCCAATTCCCCGTCGCTCGCCGAACGAGACCTCTGGAGCCGCGCTCCGGTGGGGCCGCTCGCCGACCGTCGGTGCCGGGGCCGTGCACAGCAAGCCGCGCAGAGGCACCACCACGGTTCGAAGCGACGAGCAGCCGCCCCAAGCGCGAACGGCCCCACCTGGACCACGCCGGGCGGGGGCTCTACCTAAAGTACGGCCAGGGCGGGGGGTCGCGGGGTCTCCACGGCCATAGCCGCCGCCGCCGCCGCCTTCCCGGGAGGGAGGTGAGGGGACGGAGCGCTCCCGCCAGCCCCGGGCCATAGAGGCGTGTTGCGGTTGCTGCTGCCGGTACCGCAGAGGGAGCCAGGTATGAGACGCGAGGGTTCCAGTAGCGCCGACCCGGCTCCGCACGGCTTTCGCGGCGGTGCTCGCGCGGGACTCCAGCGGCGGCGGCGGGGCTCTGCGCACCCCCGCGCGGGAAAGGGCGGCTCCTGCGGAACGGGAAGCCGGGCGCGCCGCCGGCTGTGCGCGGCTGTGGTAAACCCGCCGGCACCGAAGTGGAGGTCAGGCAGCGGCACCTACTCGGGGTCCTGTGACTGGCAGCGCTCGCGGGAGAGGCGCGACAGATTCGGGATTTTATTTCCACTCAAGAAATAGGAGGATGGTGATCAGCTGTAGCATTATTTTTCAGTTGTGGGGTTAACCGCTTAAGGGTAAGTTAAAGGTACCTATTAATTGTCCAAACCAGGTTTTCTGAGTCTCTGTCTAAATTCCTAGTAAGGGTGGAGGTTAACTTTAGATTTGAAGAACGCAAAACTCCTCCAAAGCATAGTTCCAGTGTGTTGTGAGTTAATCCGGGCAGGCAGCTCAAGCCTCACCCTTCCTCTTGCACTGGGATGGGGATAGAATCAGAAGGGCAAACGTGGCAAATCCTATGGGTTTTCCCTGAGATAAAGACAGTTTAAAAGGTAAAGCAAAGCAACTTGAAAAACAGAATGTGTAGTCTATCCATTATGTCCCCTTAGCAGGCATGTTTCTAGCCATTTCCAAGGAAACAGGACTTCGTCAGGTTTAGCAGTGACTTGGGAGGCCATATGCTGTCATGTTGCGCATTTCCCCCTTTTTCTTTCTTCCCCCAGCTTAGATGGTTGAGCATAGCATCATATGGTGTGGAATAGGACTTTGATTGGTTTGGTTCAGAAGTCCCAGCTGTGTTCCAAGCAAACTTTTTGTGCCATCCACCTCCTGGCACAGAAGCCACAGGAGAAACAGAGATTGTCTTGACTCTGCGTGAGTACCGTTCAGTGATAGCTAAACATCAGTGTGTTTGAAGCACTTTCTTTGGTCACAAAACACAGCACCCTGCTAGCTCCTAGGAAGAAAATTAACTCAGTCCCAGCTAAAAAAGTACAGTGTGAAAGAAAAAATATGAAATAACAGTCTTTTAAATGTCATGCAGTTTTTGTTTTGCCCAATTTGTTTGATCTTCAAAGGACACAAAGTTTAAATATTTACAATAGGAGGAGTTTGGCTTAGGGATGTACAGCAGATTACGATGGAGAAGTTTCTGAGTGTATACAGGGAAGGGTGGGGTTTGTCAGTTCTAATGGCACAAAATAAGTACAACAACTGTATATTGTTGTACAACAACTGTATGACTAAATACAAAGGCTTACTGTCTTTGTATTTAGAATAGAAATAGACACTTTTAATTTTGTTAGAGTAGTATTGTATTAGTGGAAAAATACTGCCTTCAGTTTAATCCTTCAAACAATATGCTTTGGACTTTGGATCTTATAAAAGAGGAAGGACACCTGGTGTGTCAAAGAACCTTCCTGAAAAAAGTAAGCTCTCAAAAGAGTAACAACAGGCAATTGAGATAAAGATGGTAAGTTATTGTTCATATGGGTTAATATTAACACTGTGTTAATAACATAGTGATCTGAGGTTTTGCCTTTGACAAAAATCATAAACTAAAGGATAGAGAATAATATTTTTCAAAAATGGTAAGTTTTGTAAGGCTGTTTTTCTAGTGAGGGGTTTTAGTTAGACCCTGGATAAACAAGGATTAGGTTGTTTATTGTTCTTACATTGCTGAAGCTAATACTTCATATTAGCAACTCAAACTCTGCAGTCACCTCTTGTTACTCGCCCTCTATCCTTACCCTAGATTGGGAGATAAAGTAATAAAATGAGAGTTATGAAAAACTTAATACAATGTATTCATTGTCAAGATACTGAAATGAGCAGCATAAATAGTTGTCAGCTGCCCGCATGTGAACAAAACAAATTACAAAGGAAGGCCACAATGCATAGAGGATGTGAGGGAGATTAATTATTACTCAGGAATGACTCTTGGACTAAATTAGCAATTGGTACCAGCTTTTAGTAAGGACAGTGCTAGTTGTGGAGGGTTTTAGAAAGATGTTGGAAAAGAAAGTCTGAAAATAGAAGTTGGACAGAAAAGGTAAAAGCAACATCCAATTTGAAGGCAATACAAAAAAATGTAATTTCAAAATTGTAAAAAGATAAGCTATTGGAAGAACCTGTAATGGGAGATTAATAAATGTGTTTGTGAGCATAGTGGTACAGTGTGGCTAAAGCATGATTGATTCCTTGGTCTAGGACAGGGAAAAAAAGATTATTTAAGTATATGAAAGTTTGTAAGTGTACTCTTGATCCCGTACAAGGTTTTAGAGTAAATTTTAGCAGGACTGTGACCAATGAAATAAGGAGAAACATGATTAATTTGACCAGCTCAATCTAGTGAAAGTTGTCTCACCTACAGCAAGGGGATTGGGACTAGATATTTTAAAGTCTTGTCCAACCCAAGCCATTCCATGATTCTAACCGTGACAAGAGCTCTTTATTATGACCTTGCTGCAGAAGAAAACATTGTGTAACTGCACTTGCCTGACTGACTGGGCAGATATGTCAATTGTAGGCTGATGACAAGCTCAGATGTATCAGTGCAATATGTTGCATCTCCAAAAACTGAAATCCTAGCACACATTAAGAAAGAAAATTTCCAACAACGATGAGGGCTTGTTAACTTGCCACATACAAATGGATAAGGTACAGACATTTCTGGTCTCTTGTACTAGAGAGTAATGGAAACTGGGCCAGCTGCAGAGAAACACTTGGTGAAGGAGCTCTGTTTCTTATGACACGGTTTTACCTTTCATTCAACTCTTTTGTTGAATGAAAAGGTAATGAACATGAAGATGAGAAAGTGATATTACTGAAGTCTGTCAGGGTGGTGGGGAGGAAGAAAGTCTGTTTACAGTTAAGTGGAATACTGCAAAGTAGCCATTGATACCATTAGCTAAATTTAGTATTAAAGCAAATCTGCATCATTTGTGGCATGCTTACTTGCATATTAATTGGAATTAAAAAATACAAAATCGAAATGAATGGTTACTATATAAGAAGAGCATTTAAATATGCTGAAAGCATACCTTTAAAATTTGCCATTTTACGCTTTTTATAGTGAGGAACTATAAATGTAGTGTTCTTAATTATACTGACAATGTATTTTATGACTACATATTTGTGCTGTTTATTTCAGGAGAGCAAAATTAATGAGTTGTGTTGTGGAAACCATAAATTTCACTCATCAAATTGTACATATTTCTTTTCTTTAAGATTCCGTGTTCTGATGTGTCTTTGACCTCTTGATTTTGCTCTTTTTCTTAGCTTCTAGAACTCACTGTTGTTTTAGCACTCTCTCACAGTTCCTAACCAGAATTTGTATCCACATGTTCTAACTAGGCCTTATAGCATGTCATGAAAAAAATGTTTGTTCAAGAAATGCAGATATATATATATAGTGTATTTTTCTAGTTCTTTTTAAGTATGTGTGTGAACTGGGTTTATATCAACATGCAAGATTAATTTTCAGAAGAAAATTTAAGTAGCCTTAAAAAATCCATGAAAAATGTTTGATTTTCTTCAGCAACTCCATACTCACTTGTAATTTAAATTAAGTTCTTGCAACACAACTGTGTACTTTGCTCAAGAGAAGGAAAACTTGTTTTTCTGGTAGGTGTGGCTGCTGTTAGTGACATTAAAAGAGCAACAGCTATGTGAAATAAAATGTGCCAGGAAGTATCTTAGGTATTGTACCAGTTTTTCTCCTCACAGTATTGTTCTGTATTGAACAATTATTGCAATTTACCTTAAAAGTATTTATCTGTTCAAAATAAACAATTATTTTAGCAAAAAATGAATGGAGGACTGAACAGAGCCTCACTCTGCTATGTACTTTAAAAGGTACTTTTTCCTTTCCTGTGTTTGCTGTTCAAAATGCAATTGAAAATATATTTTTTTTCTTGTTAGTTATTTATTGCTAGAAAAAGTAGAAGAAAGAACAGGTAATAAATTTATTTTGTTATTTGCTGTTGACATGTTTTGATATTTCTTTAATTAAAAAATTTATTTCTTTAATTAAAAAAGATTTATTCTGTAAGATAGATCAATATTTTAAGTCATAAATAGATAAAACCAAGGGGAAGAATGTTAAATGTGACCTTCTCTTTGTAAGAATGCTAAATATAACATTCTTGGAATAAGAATACTTGGGGGAAACCTGTACTTTAGAACATATCATAAAAAGACTTAAAAAGCTTGAGTTATTTTCAGTCACAAATCTCCAGCTGGAAGTCGTATGGCAATAGCAGATTCTTACTATGTATTTGCTGTTCTGCTCTCATTTTAGGAACTTATGGGGATACTATCTCCATTTCAGAGATAGATGAGTCAGTGCTTTCTGCTGCTTCTTTTCTGCTTTGTGCCTAGTGATGCATAGTGAAATTTTTGGTGCCCCTATGACTATTCTCTTCTGAAAAGCAATTTCTTGGTAGCTAGCAAAGTCTGCTGTAAATCACATCAGCCTTCGCATATGGGACATTTTCAGGGGTGTGTTGTGACTGTGGTACTCCCTAGTTCACTTTTTCATGAAATAGCAATTGTGAAAATACAGGTACATTATTTTGAGGGCACAGGCAATTACTTTTTCGCCTGCTAGAAACATTTTCGTCGTCTTCTGCAATAGCATCGGTTCATTCCATCACGGCATTTTACTCCACACTTCCTGCTGGCAGTTGGTGAAACTCTCTTCTACCAATGCAGTTTTCTGATCTGACATGAATTTTATTAATCTGGGACACTTTTTTTCCCAAGAATCTCTGTGGTACAAGCAGGCCTTTGAGGAGACTTGCTGTCACTTTTCTATTTATGCATCATATCTGAATATCTAAAGGTGAATTTGCAGAGAACACTTTCATCTAGGCTCCACTTGCAGAAATTAGTGCTTGAGAGTGCCATAAACTCCCATTCAGTCATTAACACTTGCTAGCACAAATGCTGCTAAAGACTTTGGTTATCCAGTCACTCAGGACTGCCTACTTGTACCTGCAACAGCAAGAGTTTTAAGCCCTAACCCCCAAATCATGCCAGGAGCTAAGACAGCATTGATCCATTGTGAAGAGGCCCAGATGTCTAGTAAGCATTTATATGAGATGACCTTTCCTGCAACTCCTGCCTCTTACAGGGTTACGTAGGGTAGTGGCAAACTGAGTTTTATACCTGCATTGATTTCACCTGCCTTTGCTGGATTGTATGAACTGACTTTCCTCTGTGTGTATGATTTCCTCTGTGGTGATCGGCAAGTTAGGGAATTCATAAATTAGTGATTAAATAAATCTGGACCATCCTGTGTAATCCCCAATTAGCATATTTATTATGAACTTGATTAATTCTATATACATTTAATTTATCTGCCTCTAGCTTGTCTGTGAGAAGTCTGGTTGAGTTTGGTTTTTTAAAACATAATTTACATACACACTGCATCAGTGGAAAAAAAAGTTTTGCTTTGCTTTAAGAATTACTGCCTAGTTATTAAATTGGATATTCTAAAATTTGGATTCTTGAAAAAAAAATACCCCTTGTATTGCTGTATGTAGACCTCTGTTATATTCTTCTACAGAACCCTCCATGTAGAGAAACTGCTCCACACATCTGACAAATAGAGGCATTCAGAGTGTCACATATCATACATATCATTAAATGCATGTTCTGTGACTAGATTTACATAAAAGCACAGTAGCTGGGTCTCTGAGTAAGTCAGTGCACCATAATAGAGACTTACCCTCATCTTGTTTGTGAAATTCTTGAGCAATGATTGTGAGTCAGTATTATCTCATACTGCCTTTTCTTTTCTGCAGATAAGGCAGCATAAATTACAAGGACAAAGAAATTTGCATGGACATTTAGATCCATTCAAAATGTTGTGTGCTGGGAAAAAATCTTACTTTGCTGCTGCTGTGTGCATTATGACTGTAACTTCAATGCTTGCAGTTTCTTATCTGAAGTTACAGAGACTTTCTCATCAGCCAAAAGTAATTCAAGAAGGTAGAAGATGTAGAGGGAAGATTGCCATTAGCACAATAACACCATTAGAAGGTAACAAAACTTTTATTATATCCCCATACTTTGATGACAGAGAAAGCAAAGTCACTCGTGTGATTGGGATTGTTCACCATGAAGATGTAAAACAACTGTACTGCTGGTTCTGCTGTCAGGTCAATGGAAAAATATATGTATCAAAAGCAAAAATTGATGTTCACTCAGATAGATTTGGATTCCCTTATGGTGCTACAGATATAGTTTGTTCGGAACCTAAAAATTGTGATCCAACACATGTATCAATTCATCAGTCTCCATATGGAAATATTGACCAGCTGCCAAGCTTTGAAATTAAAAATCGCAAGCCTGAGACCTTTTCTGTTGACTTCACTGTGTGCATTTCTGCCATGTTTGGAAACTACAACAATGTCTTGCAGTTTATACAGAGTATGGAAATGTATAAGATTCTTGGAGTACAGAAAGTGGTGATCTATAAGAACAACTGCAGCCATCTGATGGAGAAAGTCTTGAAGTTTTATATAGAAGAAGGAACTGTTGAGGTAATTCCCTGGCCAATAAACTCACACCTCAGGGTTTCTTATTCATGGCGCTTCTTGCAAGATGGGACACACATTGGCTACTACGGACAAATCACAGCTCTAAATGACTGTATATACCGTAACATGGAAAGGAGCAAGTTTGTGGTCCTTAATGATGCTGATGAAATAATTCTTCCCCTTAAACACCCAGACTGGAAAACAATGATGAACAGTCTTCAGAAGCAAAACCCAGGGGCTAGTGTTTTCCTCTTTGAGAACCATATCTTCCCAGAAACCGTATCTTCTCACACATTCAACATTTCATCTTGGAATACTGTGCCAGGTGTTAACATATTACAGCATGTATACAAAGAACCTGTCAGGACTAAGGTAGAGAATCCCAGGAAAATGATAGTTGATCCACGAAAGGTGATTCAGACTTCAGTCCATTCTGTCCTACGTGCTTTTGGGAAGAGTGTGTATGTTCCTGTGGATGTTGCCCTCATTTATCACTGTCGGAAGGGCCTTCAAGGAAACCTTCCCAGAGAATCTCTCATCAGGGATACAACACTGTGGAGATATAACTCATCATTAATCATGAATGTTAACAAGGTTCTATCTCAAACCATGCTGCAAACTCAAAATTGAGATCTCAGTTATAAGGAGTGAAAGTGGAGGGCTACCTGTACTGTGGGAAGACAGAGGATATAATTTAAAAATCACATTACATTGATTTTCACATGGAGTCAACATTTTTCTGCAATTATTTAGGGAATATATAGCAAAGCCATGAATCACTTAATGATAACAAGGGTCAATGCAGATTGCAGCATCTCCTCTGGGAAATGTACAATTTGTTTTCAGTTAATAATAAAAATCAGTATTTGTCAACTGATTCAAATAATGCAAATAGTTTTCAACCTATGTACAAAAAGTACAAATACAATCATTAGTATTAAAGGTAGCATCGCTTAATTCTTGCAGTTTGTATGTCACTGGGTACTAAATTTGTATGCATCAGTTTGAATAAAAGGTAGACAAGTAATTGAGTACCATCTTCCTTTCAGTTGTAAAAAAATTACCCCTTATATTCCTGGAAATAGTGTATGTTAAAGACGTGATGGATTGTAACACTAAACACAGCCATTGGAGTTTTGCTGATAAAAAATGTCTTGTTCAACTGGGCTTTGGAGACATGTAAGTTGGAGAAGAGTCATTGCACCTGTTCCTGAATTACTAAAGTGGTAAATGCTGAGTTGTGTCGGAAAGCTTTGATAGAGGCAAGGGAGAGAGATTCATCTTAATGAAAAAGATACTTTTGCGAACCAAAAAGAACCTATTTCAAGGAGGAAAAAAATCGATGGCCAAACAACTTTTTTGAAATGTCATATTTTGTTGGGGTTTTTTTCTGGCACCTTGAAGCCTCGTAGGAAAAGATTTTGTGAAATTAAACACAAGCTGGATTTTAGTCCTTTATGTGATGGGTAAGTTGAATTACATTGCTTCCTTGGTAGGTGTAAGGGTACAGAAGTGGCATTTTTTCTTAACTCTATCTGGAAATAGTGCTGACTTGCTGAAGGGCCAGATGGAAACCAAAACAAACAGAAAAACCATTTGCTCATTTTTGTTTCACAGTTTCACAGTTTCAGTTTCTGTTTGATAAGACCCCAGAACTACATGCATTGCATATGTTGTCTCAATATACTAGAACCTTCCTACTGAAGGCACATCTGAAGGCAGCGGTAGCCTGACACTGGTGTCTGACAGACAGAAGTGTGTGTGAGAGCAAGTATGCTTCTTAAAATTTTTACATTAGTGTCATGCTTTCATTCCTTTATCTACTTGGTAGCGGCACATACCTGTGCCCTTAAAGAGCTCTGTCATTAGGGGAATAGTATCATTAGCAATGTCCAAAGGGAACTTACTTCTATTCACAGTGACTGCAGCATCTCACAGTCTGTATCAACAAACTTGCAGCTGTATTGGGATCTGAGATGTCTGCTTCTGTCAGTCACACAACCTGTATGGCAACAGGTCCATTAAGAATTTCAGACTCGTCATTTGGAAGGGGCATCTGAAAGTCCAACTCCCTGCTTACAGCATGGTGTGCTCAGGGCTTTGTTTGGGAAGGCTGGGCAACCTGTTTCAGTCTTAAACTAAACTCACTGTGGAGAATTCCTCTCGTCAGAAGAACCATTGACCATTGTCTTGCTGCAAGATGCCAAAAGGAGTCTGACACTGTTTTCTTTATAGATTACTAGTTAGCTGGAGACAGTAGCAGTGCCTCTGCATCCCGTGCCCACCACACCTTCCCATCTGGAGGGCTCAGCTTGGGTCTGTTTCTCAGCCATCTTGTGCTCCACCTCTCTGTGGACTCTATATAATCAAGGTCACTAAAAGAAGTAATTAACCAAGATTTCCTGATTTGCTGATTTGGAAACAAGGACATTTCTGGCACACCTCTATTTAATCTTTCAAACTTAATGCAGTGCTGTATAGGTGGTTCCTTTAGAAGCACACATCATAATGATACTGTTATGTTACTCCCACATTAGGAATGAGGAGAACTGGGTTTCAAGACAAGTTACTGAATTTAAGTTATTCAAAACATTCTTTTTCACAGTTTTCTTCACTTAGGAGTGAGACAACAAAAGCTCACTTTTGTGAGCTCATCATTTATGCCCCACACAGTGCAGTTTGAATTGAGAGTTGTGAATTTGGCTTCCAGTTGATAAAATCCTTGAGTACAGACAACATTTCTCAAAGTAAATTGATGTGACTGAAGGTGGAAAAACTGAGTGCTTAAGAGTCTGGCCTTGTATTTAAGAGACTGCTCCACTGTGACTTGAAGCTACTCCTACCGCATCCTCAAATACTGATTCTTGCATATGAAAACTCCCCTTCATTGGTGTAACTCATATCACATACATTTGGAAGTCGTGGCCTTCATTCAGTATTAAGTACGAAGTCAGGTCTCCTTGTATAGTGGGAAGAAAAAAATCACACTAGTAATGCTAGACAGTTTTGTCCTCTGAAGGGCATGAGCATGAGGTTCATGAAAACCCATGTTTTCAAGTTGTGTAAAAAAAATGACATTAAGGCAGGAGGGAGGGAGGGAGGTAGATCAACCTAAAGCATTTCTAAAGCATGGGATGTAGATGCAGCTTTAAAGTACATGTCAAATAGCACAAAAATATGTGGACAAATATTTGTTAAAGGACTCGTTTGATTCTTCTGTTTCAAAGGCTAAGTATTTAAAGCTATCATATGGAAAAACATTTTGAAGAGAAAGATTCTGGAGAGAGAGAGGGTTTGCTGTTTTCTCATTTTTGTTAAGCAGCCATGCACTGCAACCAGTATTTGCTATTAGATGTACAAAAGCCTATGGTTCTAAGACAGTAGCTTCACCTTCTGTTTCAATTAAAAAAAAAAAAAAGGTCGGAAGTCAGGTCAAGCACAACTTGATTTCAGACTTGGTAGCAGATTTGAATGGTTTAAACATTACAAGCTATACTTCAGAGCCCAAACAGGTATATTTAAACATGAATATAGACAAAATTTTGTGGTGAATACTGTTAGCATGCTGCATTGCATTATTTCCAAAACAACCCATTCCCAAATGCCCAAATAAAAGTAAATGATTGTGCATTGCATGATGATACCATTGGATGTGCAACTTTGGTTCATGCAAAGTCTCATTTTATGGACACACTTGCTGACAGGCCATAAATTCCTGAAGATTCTGTATGTGTGAGCTTTTCAGCCATGTTCTTTCCATAAGACCAAATGGATACTATGGTCTGGCATACTGGTGGCAAAAACCAAGCCTGTATCATTTTGGCCATTTAGTCCATTTAACCAAGACATTTCACCGGCCAAGAAGCTTGAACCTCTCTTTGACTTTCTATATTCTGGTAAAGGCCAGCGGCTTATCAGTTTTTCTGTCCTCAAGTCCATTATGTACAGGTATCTGTTGTCAAACAGTAGAGCAAATATCTCTCCAAAGCCCAGCAAGGATACATTTGAGAAGTCTGGAGGTTTGATAACCCTAGAAGACAAGAAAACAGTGTAAGAATCTCCCTTACGATGTTGTCATGAGCTTGAATTACTAAAGCGAATCCTGTATGTCTACAGAAAATGTGTCTAAATTCATCATTCTGAAGTAATTTAAAAAGAACTGGATGCAAATCTTTCAAATTAAGCAACTGAACACTTTAGCTACAGTCAGGCCTGTGGTTTCACTTCTGACTTTATATATTCAGGACAGACCCATCTGAGCATAAGTGAAGGCTAAGGTTTGAAAGGGATTATTCTGCAGAGCACAAGGAAAAAAAGAGCCATTTCTACATACAAATGAAAGAGCAAATGTACTTGTGTTTTACAGTAAATTTCCATATGGATTTCATGCCTCAATATCTTTACACTAAGAGGTAAAAGCTGTTATTATTCTTTTGAATAATTTTGAATTCACCCCTCTAAAAGGCAGAAGTAAAAGATAGACATGCCTTCTTGTGATAAGCAGGTTAGATAAATCACCCAAGACTAGTCCTTAGAATGCTGTTTTACTGATGTTTTATGTTAAATTAACCATGGGGAGAAATAAAAGTAGTTTTTAGTTCCCCAACACCTTGATGATGGCTTCCCTTAATAAATAAAACTTGGAATAGAAACTGAAGAGTTGAGTCTTCCACAACTGCCTGCATGTTTGATCATAGCATTACATAAAGCAAAGAACTGAGGCACAAAAATGTGTGGGGATGAAAATCTGCTCTCAGCAATAAGAGACCATCTTTCTGTTCTGAAAGATGGGAGAGTAAACTAAGAAGTGAAATTACTCAGTTATTCTTACTCATAAGAAGCACTTCTGGAGATCTTTCAAATATCCACAATTATTCAGGGTATTTAAATTAAGGAGTCTTCTAGCAGTTCTAAAATGCATTTTTTTCTTTAGTAAGTTGGCATCTTTGATGCCACCATTCCCAACTCATACAACTTGATTCTTTATGTGGAAATGGAATGCCATCATGTTCAGTCCCTCACTGCAGTCTGATAGATTTCACTGTCGTTCCACAACATTAGAAGGAGTGACAGATCAGTGGTGCTATAAGCAAAAAGAGTCTTTTTAATTTCTTGTCCCATCAATGGACCCCCAGAAATTTCTGCTTGGTTCTCTGTATAGCAGTCTCCATGGTAACATTAGCTCTGCATCACTACACTTCCACATTCAGAACTACAGCACTGCAGTCTGGTTTAAGTCTATACTGAAACACTTCAGCTTACGGAATGAAAATATGGAAGAGATGAGCATGTGGCCAGAAACCAGAAGAGCAATGAAACGATTCATATTATTAGATGACAAAATTAGAATTAAACTGCTCGGTATGTGTAAAGCAAGATGTTTACAGGATTTTATTCAAGATTCTTTTGGTCCACATTTAAGGTAAGTTATTAAAACTGGTAAACTGCTTCTTATTTATTTAATGAAGACTGAATCCTAAACTGAATGGTTTACCTGAGAATATCATAGCTGGCAAAGTCCCACTGGTATAATCCTAGTGCTGAACTGCACACTATGTATTTACCATCAAAGTGCAGCCTAGGCTGTAGGGAGATGCTGCGGTCTTCAGAAACAGACAATGTTCTTAAGCATTTGCAGTTTATTTCCCTTCCAATAGGCCAAATCTACAATTAGAACACAGTTAAAGACCATAAAAAATTCACATTATAAACTGATACATAAATAGAGCAAGCCCCACAGTCTCTTTTTAAGCATCAGGTAAATGTGTGCATGAGTTTTTTCCAGAACTATTTATCTTTTTCAGGTAGAAACATCAATTCTTCAAGTGACTTGTCTTACAGTGCAGCACATGTTGTTTCTAGCCTAAGAAATTCCCAGTGAAAATAGGTACTTTAAAGAATGGAAAAAAAAAAAAAATCAACCATCCAATTGGGACAGAAATGTAA